TAATTAATAAATTAATTAAAGGAATAAAGGAATTAAAATAACTTTACAGAGATTTCTATTATAAAATAAAAATATTTTACATGCAGAAAAAGAGAAAGTTTTTTTGCATTTTGTCATTAATAATTATAATTAATTACATTTTATCCCCAAATTCCCATTAATTGAATGCAAAAACATATATTACAATATAATATTATCAAAATTATTTATTATTTAAATTTATTTATTAAAATAAACATTATGGTAATATTTGATACATTTATTTTATGCTTATGTAGATAAACATTTGTAGCATTTACAATGTTTTACAGTAATGAAAATCTAAAGAGAATAAAATAATAAAATTATATTTTATATTTAAAACTCTTGCTATATATATATATATATATATATTATTTGCATTTTACATTTTCTTGTTATTAATTATAATTAAGCACATTTATCCCCAAATAATCCATTAATTTATTGCAAAAATAAAATAGAACTCACAATTTCCATACAAAGCTCCGGTTGAATCAGCTAAATGCAGCCAGATGCTGGGTATTTTTGTTCTTGTCTTTAGTTTTTCCTTGAAATCCTCCTAAAAGTGGAACCCAATTGTCTCCAGATATTGAACTCTAATTGGCTGAGCCCGAGTGTGATTTACTAAACCTCCACGGCACATTAACGAGTTCATCAGCCCAGGTACGGTGGCATCTTTTTACCAGCAGACGGCGAGCAGAGCAACCAAAGAAAACACGCGGCCCATGTGGAGCCCATAAAGCCGGTGACCCGCAGAGGGTTACAGGAATTTACAGCGGACCTCTGCCTCTGATGGCCGTGTTTTCTTCTTCTCTGCGCTCTCACAGAGTCATTGACACCGTTTACAGCCTCTCCAGGACCTCAGCGCTCAATCTGACTCTTAACTGTGCTCAATTCACTCTCAAACAGAGATGATGAATCGCTTCCAACTGGACTCCGTTTGCACAGATCATGCTGTGTTATCTTGTGCTTGTTCTGCATTAGCACAGCTTATGTGCTTGAACACGGCTGGGTCACATTACACACCAGAACATGAAGAAAGAAACCAAGAAAATTGAGACTTTTTTTAATACTTTATGCTTTTGTCGTTTTAATGACAGTGAAGCACGTTCTCACTGTTGCTGTAATGCAAAAATACTGATATATTATTTAAATTGCATTTATGCATCATGGTAGTGTTTGTAGTGCAGCTTTTAATTTATTTAATAAAAGGTAATTGCATTAAAGTGATGAGAATGAAAGAAAAGTAAAATGTCGGGATGAACTATGACATTTTTAAGCATTATTTTGGACATGATCCTGATAGGTTTCATGAGATTCTCCCAGTTGATTTCCGTCTTTGATTATTGATGCTCATGACCAGGTTTGGCCCTACAGAAAGTGCCTTCCTGAATTAAAAGAAAGAAAAAATGACTGACTTTTTAAGACCATTAATATATTTGACATTATTTTTATGAAAATTAAGCACATTGTCTAAATGAAATAATTTTTTAATGAATATTTTTAATTATTGTAGGAATATAATATCACACCGTATATATATCACACCAAAGTAATACAATAAAATATTATTTAAGTATTAACCAGTCTGTCTATTTGAAGAAAATACAGCCTTATTATTACCATTAATATTTTCTATAAAGCAAAATAAAATTGATTTATTCTTATTTTGGGGTGAAATTATATATATATAAACCAACTTTATATTTAATCATAATTTTAATATAATGATTAATTTTGTGTTGGTGCAGTCTATGATTTTATGTAGGTAAAGTGAAGGCATTAATACATTATAGTCTAAAGTAAAATACAAAAGTATGCTTTTAAATATTTAATAATAATTGCTATACTACTTTTACAATAAATGCTGTTTTTTTAATTGTTTTAATAAAAAAAATAATATTTAAGTTAGCTATTAAATTATTTAAAAAAATATCTGCTATCTGACCAATGCCTGTAATAACAAAACTGTGATGTGGTCTCTTTTATATCGATCATATATCATATACAATATCGTGTGTGTTTGTGTGTCATTGCAGTCATCAGATCAGGTCTCTGCAGTACAGCGTCACCGGTGACGTCATTCTGGTGGTGGCGGGAAACTCGCAGGCCAAAGTTCTGGACCGCGACGGATTCCAGGTCCTCGAATGCATCAAAGGAGATCAGTATATTGTGGACATGGCCAATACCAAGGTAACTTTAAAGACACATTTGCATGTAGAAATCTTAAAGTAGGGCTGGGCGATTTGGCAAAAAATTTAATCTCGATTTTTCCAGAGTGTTTGACCGATTCTCGATTTTTAAAGATTTTTAACTAGTCAACTTGTAAATGTAACTACAACACGATTCAAGTAACTTTTTCTTTATTAACCCTCTAGCTAAAGAAAATTCTATTCTGAGTGCAGCACACATGAAGTTGTCAACATGATGTAAATGTTAAACTAATCACTTGTTAAATATCTTTGCAGAAAAGATGCGTGAACTACAACTACATCTTGTACAAACTTGTCTTATACATATTATGTGTTCAGAAATAATACGAGGAAGATGCTTTTAAAAAATCTCAAAAGTCAAGGTAATTCAAATTCAAAATGACTGAAGGTAAGACACCAGCAGACTTTTATTAACTATAAATGTTCTGTAAAAACAATGAACAGCAGTTTTCAGTCTGTCACTGTGATGCAAACTTGAAATATCAGACATACAGTAGTAGTTCTTTACAGATTTTTAATTCGATTGCGCTGCTTTTCCATTGTTTTTCTGTGTAAACATGGATGTGTTTGACTGTTGCGCTCGCGTCTCTTGCATGAAACGACAGTCTAAAAACACACCGCTCAAGTTAGAAGTTGTTCACTCCCATCTTCTTGCATGTTTTCCTCTTCCACTGCCACATCACATCTTTATTAATACAAAAGCACATTCTGTGTGATATGAGCGCGTCACACATGAGCGGTTAATCACGTGCGCCGACATGCGGCTGGATCGTTCTTTTCTCTCTACTGTAATCACCGGCATATTGTCAAAGCGTCTAATTATAACGTTTGGTAATATTTCTATTCAAAATCGCGATTCCTCGATTTCTAAAAAATAAAATCGTGGCAAAACATTAAATTCTAAATAATCGAGAAAATCGGGAACAAAGGTGTATGTTTGTAGAGTAATTTACAACAGCTTCGAATGCGGCTCAACCAATCAGAATCAAGGACCAGAACTATTCGTTTTATAAAACATAATATCACATATCAGTTCAACTTTCCCACCCCCCTCCCCCTCCCCCTGTGGTCTCTTTAATATGGGCTTCCTAATGGATAGAAAAGTTAACAGAAAACCAAAGCCACAGGAATCATAAAACATAAATTCCAGCAATCAAGAATGTAAAGGGAAAAAAAAATTATACAGCGTTAAGGCATTCATTCTGAGTCCTGCTCGTTGTTTTGTGCAATATACTTCGAGATCTTCTCAGCAGCTATATTCCAGATCTTTAATGTAGACATTTGTGCCAGGTTCACCCAAGCCGTGGATATTTCTAGCATTATAATGTCCCAAAGTTGTGTTAACCTCTTGTACATATCCAGGCTATGGCCACGTTCACACAGCAGCAGAATACGGTTGTCAGTCCTGTATTTGAGTCCTTAATACGGTTACGTTTACACACAGGACAGTTATTTTCAGGCGTGACAACCGCATTCTGTAACCAAACTCACACCATTAAATTTTCAGGACTCACAGCCGCATTCTCGGAAAACAAGAGCTGTGTGAACGGAACAGGACTGGACAACTAGTTGTCTGTCACGTCATACAGTGCGAGAGAGAGCCGCTCTGCCGCACAAACGCGCGTCTACCGTGTGTTACGTGTTTTCGGTAACTTACAGTGATGGAGAAATAAGCTGCATGTCATCTGAACGTTTTAGATCCCATCAGTTTTCCACCGTAGCCGCCGCTCCCGTCAGTTTTGTGTTCTGCGCGCGATTCAAATGGTCCGCTCTCCACCAAAATTGAAAAGCTGCTGTTGGTTAATGAAGATTTGACAAAAGAACTCGCGGCTCGATTGGACTCTTGTCGTGTCAGAAAGTGATACGACTTTCAGTTTTATGCATGTCGCCATCTTTGATATTTCTTTGGTCACTGTCGCTGCTAGTAAGGAATACGGGCTTGACTCCTGTTGCACGTTCATACAGAAAGTATTCTAAACACAACTGTAAGCTGCTGTGTGAACGTGACATTTCGAGACTCACTCCTGTAAAGAAAATGCGGTTGTCAATCCCAAAAACTGACAGTGTGAACGTAGCCTATGTGGAGGAAGCCAGTGTTTTTTTTGCAGATGTTAAACAGTTTTTTGTAGCTTAGAGAAATTCAACAGAGCATCATCGCTCCGTAATAATATAGAGGGGTTCACTGGTATAGGATATTCAATCATTATTGATAAGATAATACACACCTCATTCCCCAAGATGCGCATTAAATATCGCATGTGATTTATCGTGCAGCCCTAGTTTTAGTCTTAAAAAGTGATAGGTGTATCGATGTAAACACAACAGACAATTATCTTTTTTTGTAAAACGTGATGCCAAGATCGCGAATTCGAAAAAGCGTCCGAAGCGCTGTTTATAACGCAGCAAAAGAGGAACTCCCGTTCACAAAATTCAAATCACAAATAATGCTGATGAAAAAAAACGGGTTGAATGTTAACCACTTTTGTTACCATATAACTATAAACTATGATAACAGAAAAACGATTTATCAGCATGCATTGATTAATACTAAAAATGTATATTAAAAGAAAAGGTTTTCTCAAGTAGAACAGTGATTTTTACTGATTGCAACTGTGGTCCTTGGTGGCTCATAAAATGCAAGTCAATGGCTGCCGGCACTTTTAGAGTCAAAAAAGCATATGATTAAACACAAAATGAATCCCCATGGCTCCTGACAATATATTTAGGTCTTATGAAGCGAAATGAACAGTCTGTGCAAGAAACTGAACATTATTTACAACATTATTACCTGTAATCCAGAGCCTGACACACTGGGAAACCTGATTCTTTTCTGTGAACTGATTCCTTCAGACAGTTCACTTCAGTCAACTGGTTCAAATAAACGATTCACCAGTTTGTTTACATAATTACTTTGACGTTACATTTACATTTACATTTAGTCATTTAGCAGACGCTTTTATCCAAAGCGACTTACAATTGGGGGATACATAAAGCGTCAAAACTAACAAAAGAGCAACAATATATAAGTGCAAATGACAAGTCTCGGTTAGCCTAACGCAGTACACGTAGCAAGGTGATGAGATGGAATAGGATCAAGCGGACAAGTAGTAGACATTACGTATATGCAATTATATTATTAAAGCACTCGATGTGAAATGTGGATATTTTACATCTCTAAAGCATACAAAGTGAATAAATGTGGTCTTCTTTAGATCACATTTTTACATAAACCATGAGAAATCATAACTTTCACTTCTCCCCTTCATTGAAGCTCTCAGTTCACACATGCGCATATCAATGGCTTATTGGTTTGAGTTGAACTGTTTCCTCAGTTCAGTGACTGTTGGAGGAACTGGAGAACCGAATGATTCATTCGTCACAGGATCAGATACGCCGCTATTTTGGCTCATTTCCAGTTTGAGTGACTGTCAGTCGTCTGAAAGTGAGTAACTAGTAGATCTGTGCTGCTCGAGCCGTGAACTGATTCAGATGATTCAGTCCGATTTGGTGAACTGGTTCTAATAGTTCACCAAAAAGAACCGATTCAAAAGAATGGTTCGTTCGTGAACCGGACATCACTTCAGACCGTTTGCCTGAGGCTCTGGATTACTGGTAATAATACTGTAAATAATGTTCCGTTTCTTGCACAGACTGATTGTTTCGCTTCATAAGACCTCAATATATTGTCAGGAGCCACGGGGATTAATTTAGTGTTGTCTGTATATGCATTTTTGACTCTCAAAGTGGCAGTAGCCATTGACTCACATTTTACCAGCGAAAAGGGCTCTTTTTGAGTGAACTATCCCTGTTGGAGCCATTTCTTTTCTATTTTCATATTTTGGACTGATTTAATAATTTGAATAGAATTAAGTATGTTTGATGATTATTATTTGTGTATTATTTCAGTTTATTTGAGTTTTTGCTTTGAATGTTATGAATTTATGAATGGAGACTCTTATTATATCATTGCAGTTCTATTCTTTAAAAAAAAAACTTTTAGCCCCTTTTAGACTTGCACTCTATTCATTTACTAACTGCTTGTTTTCTTAAAAAAAAAACCTAACACTAGCTTCTCTAATCTTTTTGTTTTCTATCTATTTGTTTTCTTTTTATTTATTATACAATTAACAAAAAGCAAAAAAGGCATCTAACACTAGCTTGCTCTATTCTTTTTCTATTTTATGTTTTCTTTTTATTTATTATACATGTACTACGTTAAGCTAACTGAGACTTATTATAGCACTTGCATATCATTGTTCTTTTGTTGATTTTGAATGCTTCCATTGTCCTCATTGGATAAAAGTGTCTGCTGAATGAATAAATGACTAAATGTAAATTTGCTGCTATAATCCCTTTAATTCTAAGGGTCAGAAATGGACAAACCAGTATGCATCTTATAGACGCTTTTTGGCTGATTTGTGCTCCGTATCTGCTCTGAGTGTTTGTCAGTTCTCATGGTATGTGTGTTTGCTGCATCTGGACGCTGTTTGTTGACTGAGGCGTAATGAGGTGTACATGAACTACATCAGAGAGGCCAGCGCACACTAAATATTGCACCTGGTCCTTTGGCCCGTCCGCAGACACACTGTCCCTCTGTAATCAGTGTGTGAAGCGCGGCTCGCGTCACTAATGTAGTGTGTCGGCACGCCACAGTCGCTGCAGGACAAACTGTAATTAGGTTTGGGTTCGTTATGTACCCTAGCGCAAGTGCATTTCAGCCTCAGACATAAATATTGTTTTCTTCAATCATCGTCAATGCCTTGTTTTGCTGTTGAAAGATGCCACCTGGACATCCATAACAGAAATACTTGAATTCAGTCTTTTATTTTCATAGTTATTACTTCCACATGTGAGCACACTTGGCATACACTACAGACACATTTGTATACTATTGTAGTATTTATTAATATTACTTTATTTTTATACTTTTTATATTTATAATTTTTTTTTTTTTGTAGTCGACTCTTTCAAAAACATAAAAAAAATCATAATTATTAAAAAAAACACAACTAATAAAAAATAATAATAAATTAAGCTAAAAAATAACTCATTTTAGTACTTCAACTTTAATACTTATTTTAGTTAAAATTTTTAGTTTAATTTTTATATTTAATTTTATTTAATTTAGCACAAACAATATTTAATAGTTTTTAGTTTATTAGCGGTCAGTCATATCGCGTCTGTGGTCAGTAGCTCCAAACAAATCATCTTTTGTTTCCTGTTTAGTCACTGACGGACAGGAAGCAGTTGTGATGCATGATCCGTCCTCAAACTATGTGAGGATGGAGCCAGATATCTGCTCTGAATTTGTGTTTCGTATCCCATGAGGCCAGTGTGTGTCCTTGGACGTCGTGAAGGTCAAGTGAACAAATGCTGCAGAACATATTTGTGATGGCACGCTTTAATAATGCAGCATGTGCTCATCATTACAGACAATCACTGACAGCTTTATTTATTCTCTCAGAATGACTTTATAAAAGCCTTCTGATGCATTTCCTGTTCTTCGATTGGACTCGTTTCCTGTGTCTACATTAACACTTTAAAGTCAACATTGGAAACATGTTTTCTTTGTAGAGTGTGAAAGTGAAACAGTATTAATTCATTAGGAAGTAATGTAGGACAGAACATCGTTTTATTCATGTTAGGCTGATATTTATTAGTAGTGGTGTTTAGTAAGTAAGATATACATTATTCTAAAGTACCATTAATCATCCATAGTAAGACCAAAAAACACATGTTTTGACACATTGACGTTGATTCAAATTATTTATTGTAACTTTATTTAGATATTATTTTTATGTATGTATGTATTAATATGATTCAAAGTATTCACTGGAATTGTGCAAATGTTATCTTTATTTATTTATTAACATGATTCAAATTATTTATTGGAATTGTATTCAAATTGTAGTTTTTTTTCTAGTATTTACTTATTTGACTCAAACTTTTGGAATTTTATCCAGATTTTTTTATGTATTAATATAATTAGAATTATTAATTGGAATTGTATTCAGATATTATTATTTATTTATTTATGTATTAATGTGATTCAGTTATTTATTGGAATAGTATTAAAATTTTATTCATATGATCCAAATTATTTTAATTCAGATTTTATTTCTATTCATTAATTTATTAATATGAACCAAACCTTTGGAATTGTATCCGGATGTATTAATATGATTCAAATTATTTATTGGAATTATATGTATGTTGTATTTATTTGTTAGTGACTGGAACTTCATTCAGATTTTATTTTTATTTATTAATGTTATTTCAATTATTTATTGGTATTTTACTTAGTATGTATGTTTATTTATTTATGATTCAAATGATTTGTTTATTAATTTATGGGTCAAAGACGTTAAGATGTCCGCATCAAAATAAATGTACAAAAGTTTATAAATGTATGTCCATAGAAAGCACATTAAATGTAAATAAAGTGTCTATTTTTAAGGTTTCAAATAAGTTTTTGGAGAATAAAATGTCACAATTTGGTTGAAATAATGTTACATTGTCATTCAGTGTTACACAATAGTTATGTAAAAATTCAAACAACATGCTTATTCTGACGTGACATATTAATATATATATATATAAAAGAATAAGGGAGCAAATTAAATTTTATTGTGTTTTAAATGAGTAAAAAAAAAATTACTGACAAATGGGCAAAACCTAGGATAGTGGCACATTTTAAAAATGTAAAATTACAGCTAATTAGTATTTGGGGTGAAAGAAATTAGTCTTTTAATATGTCATAAATTGATTTTTGTTGTAAATATGCCTGAGAAGATCGTTACATTGAATGACATTTTAGTGGGTCTTTTCTGTAAATCAGGGGAAAATTTATGATATTTATTTTTTGCTCAGAAAAACAAAAACAAAATTGCAATTAAATTAAACAGAAAACTTTTTACATTTTTTTGGGAACAACAACAACAATTTAAAGCAGTATTACACTTATTGTTTTTATGCTTAAACCCTTTTTTCGTCTTTGACCCTTATATGTTTGAATTAATTTACTAGAATTTTATTTGTATTTATTTTTTCCTGTTATTCAGATTGAATGTTGCTTAATTTGCACTTTGCATCCTGATGATCATCTTAATCTGTCGTCTGTTCTCTTGTAGGGTCACACGGCGATGCTGAACGACGGCTGCTGGCATCCCAAAATTAAAGAGGAGTTTCTGACCTGCTCCAATGACGGGTGAGTGATCGAATACCAGTCCTCTTAGCTTATTATTACACATTTAGTGAACGTGTAAAGAGGCTCTTTCTGTCGTGGCTCAACACACGTTGAGCTTTGCTTCTGCAGGCATTTTGTGTTTGCATTCTTGAGTATGTTCAACGCCTTTCTTCAAACTATTTGTTCTTGAGTTTTAACCCATAATCCCAGGGGATTGTGGGTATTTCACTGGGCTTGTTGTGAGTGATTCAAAGTTTGATGTTAGTCACTGAAACTTTCCAAACAACATGGAGCCAAATGCATGATTGTCTTAATCAAATTTAACGTTTGTATAAGCTCTTAAATATATTCCTCAAACACAATCAATTCTCATAACTCTGCAACAAAATCGATGTTTTTTTGTTTTTTATCAGATTTTATTATTTTTCTTTAAATATAATAGCATTTATGGCGGTCATCAAGCAAGCGAGTCAGATTGAATGATTCAGTGAGTCTTTTTTTTTCACACTGGTCTTTTTGGTCAATTCAGGAATCGCTCCATAAAACTAATTTGTTCATACAAATGATCATCTTTTATTCTTTAATCATCCAGTCAATTAGTGAGTCTTAATTCTGATTCAGTGAGTCATCTGATAGTCTGATTCAAACTGTAACTCTTGTTGACTCCTAAAGACTCTTTGTTCATAAGAGTCATTTGTTCATAAGAATCAGTCTTTTGATCACATTTGATTGTTTACATTTGTTAAAAATAACATTTATGGCAGTCATCAAGCAAGTGAGTCAGATTTAGTGATTCAGTGAGTCTTTTCTCAGACAGGTTCTTCTGGCCATTTCAAGAATCACTCCATAAGTATAATTTGTTCACAAGAATATTTTTGATCATCTTTTAATATTTTTCTTTAATTATCCAGTCAGTTAGAGTATTTATTCACATTCAGTGAGTCATTTGTTAGTCTGATTCAAACACTAGCTGTTTTTGTCTTCTTGACCAAATTAAGAATCTGTTCATAGGAGTCATTTGTGCTTCTTTTCGATCACATTGTAATGTTTTTCTTTCATTTTAATATTGTTTCTGACATTCATCCAGTCAGTGAGTCTGATCATTTTATTTTATTCTTTAACCAATTCAAGAAGTCCATGAAAATCACTCATTCATGAGAAAAATAAGACAAGCATTTAAGATACTCTTCCAGTCAGTCAGTGAGTCATGTTCGCAATCAGGGAGGCATTTGTCAGAAAGATTCAAACAATAGTTCTTTATGAGCAATACAAGAATACAAGAATGTTTTCCTTTATTTAAAGTAACATTTATGGCAGTCATCCAATCAGTAAATGAGTCTGATTCAGTGAGTCATTCGTAAGATGAGTCATTTTTCACATTTTAGTTTTTTTTTTTCATTAAAGTAGCAATTATGGCAGTGATTTTGACAAACCTATTTCTGTTTAGCAATTTAAGAATCAGTCCATAAGATACATTTATAATTATTTATTATGACAAAAATTAATATTAACAGCAATTATGTCCCGCCAGTCATTTGTCAGACTGTTTTCTTTTTTGACCAGTTCAAGAGTCCTTTCAGAAGAGTCTGTCTTTTTGATCGCATTTTAAGGTTTTTCTTGAATTAAAATAGCATTTATGGCAGTAATTTTGTCAGTAGTCTGATTCAGACTCACAGCCACTTTCCACTTTTTTCTTTGTTCATAAGAATCAGTCATGCTGTATGTTTTTTCTCATTTGCAATAATGTAATGTATTTTGTCGTGCCGCTGCAATAAATGCCGATACGTTCAGCCAAATGCATTTGCAATGTTTTTCTTTTTGCGATGTTTCAGTGTTCACAGCCTCCAAACTACAGGCCTGTGAAATTTTCTGTGCGTGTAAACCTGCGTCAAATCATGCCCTCGTTGTGTTCCCCTATAAAAGCGCGCTGGTTTTACTGTGCGTCTGAACCATGGTGTTACAGATGTGGCTGTGTTTTATTCAGTGCTAATATAGATTCTGGAAGTCGTCGCTTGGCACTCAGCGGCGCATGTCTCAGAGGAGGAGGTTTAGCTTGAGGAGCAGCTGCAGATGTGAGCCGTCCCCGGCGGGGCATTATATCAGCGCTCAACGGAGGCCACATGTGTCCTGTGATTGTGCGGGGGTTAACAGGGGCCTTGCAGGGGTCAAGATGGACTCGGCGCGGCGCTTTGGTGCGATTACCGTCCTGCTCGCTGTAGATTACACTGACAGACTGACACCATCGGTTCCTCTAGGTTCATGGGAAGGATGAACCCGAGCAGCAACCTCCCGCTCTCTCTCGTGAAACCAACACGGAAGTGACTAAAACTGCAATTCATTGACTGTCCGCTAGAGGCTGGCTGCAAAAGGGAGTCAGTCCCATAGACTCCCCATGTTAAAATGCCCAACTTTACAGCAGAAAAAAATGTTTACAGCCTGGTACAAAAAGTGCTTTTGGTTTATATAGCTAATTTTGCCCTTCATGACCACTGTGAGGGGGGTGAATTTTTTTATAACTCATCCGTTTAAATTATATTAAGCCTTACATTTCTGCATAAGTAAGGGTGTGGCCACTTGAGTGACAGGTGGATTGCCGCTGCTGACACTGCCGTCGAGCTAGGTGGGCGTGGCTTCAGCAACCAGCTCCCGCCTCTTTGCCCATTTTCGATTATCCGGGAGTGACGCGCTGCCAAGATGGTGTTTTTGGATGTTTTATTCAAGTTTATTTGTATAGCGCTTTTCACGATGCAAAAGATGTGTCTTTAATCTAGATTTAAACAGAGAGAGTGTGTCTGAACACCGAACGTTATCAGGAAGGCTATTCCAGAGCTAGCTCGGCCAGTGTGTGCCGTGATTGGCTAGCTGGGCCAGTGTGTGCCGTGATTGGTTAGCTGGGCCAGTGTGTAATACAGAGCATATGAAGAAGAGTAGCAGTAGATATTTTGCATCTTTGACGCATGGCAGAGTTGTGACCCGTTTTCTGATGTGAAATGTGGTAATGTGTGTGAACTCGGTCTGTGTGGCCCGTGAGGATGGATTGGCGTCAGGGTCACGTCTGAATGGGTCGCTCCTCACAGAGCGAGTGTTGCGTGTCGTTCAGTGCACTCTCCACTGAAGCACAGCACACTGACGATTAAGACCATTCCCGTTGAATTGCTCCGAGCCTTTAAAAGCCCATTTATGGAAGCAGCGTTTATTGGGACGCACACACCGCTCTCGGCCCCTGAGAAACACGAGCAGCTCTTCATAATCAGTGAGCTGTTAAACACACGGGACGCTTTCGTTCTGTCCTTTATTTCCATCCGAACACTATCCCGCAGTGGGTGATTGTGAAGGGGCCCCGTCAGGAGCGTTAGGGGCCGCTTGCATTCAGTCTGAGCTGTTTTTAAGTGGTTAGTCTGTGTAAATGTGTGCTAGGCATATTTGGTGTGCGTCTGGTTAATTCAGCTTCTAGTGTAGTTTTAATAAGTACTTTTACGATTTTTATTAATATGTTCAGTTATATTAAAGATGTTCAACAAATAAAAAAAAATTTTTTTGATCATTTATTTATCAATGTGCTTAGTATTTATAAATGTTTTTATATTATCTATACATTTTATTTATTAGTGTTGTATGTATTCTGAAACGTATTTATTTTATTAGTTTATTTTTCATATATTTTTTTATATTTTAAGTAACAATTTATAAATATTTATTCATTTTATTTTTTATTTATATCTATTTTATTTTTTATTGTATACAGTATAACTAAATATATATATATATAAACAGGCGGTATAATTCTATATAATTTTAATTTTGTATATTATTAATTTTATTGTACTTATTTAGGATTATTTCAATTAAAAATGTCAATTATTTTAAACATGTCTGTGTGTGTATGTCAGTGTCACAATATATTATGAGTAATGTTATAAAATATAATATTTTTATATATTTTAAAGACAAGACACATGAAAACAAATTTTAATTCCTTAGCTACACTAAACAATATTATGGTAAAATGTATTTATTTATTTATTTGAAGTTTTTATATTTATTTATAATTAATTTAAATTTTATCAAATAAAATATCATATGTATAATATTATTATTATAATATTATATTTTTTATTTATTTTAATAACAAAAAATATGACATTATTATTATTATGTTTATTTTGCATGCTATAGCCACATTTCTAAAAAATTATAATAACAAGACATATGGAAACAAAAACAAAAACAAAAAAAAACTTAATTAGCAAGGTGACTAGTTTATCCTGACCCATTCCTGTCTGGTATTGTATGAATTCAGCAAGCCTATATTTGTACAATGAGCTGCACAATTCATTGTAAGCACATCATTCATTTATATGCAGTGTCCGTTCATAAATATATGATGTGTTTTTTGGAGAAGCGGCTTCATAAATCGCAGTCAGTGCTAATTGCAGACGACAGTGTTAATGCTTGAGACTCGCTGCGCATCACGGGAACAGCTGTTTATCTCGCGCGTTCAGATGCTTTTGTAACGAGAGCCGTGTGTTTCCATGACGACCCGATTGCTCACCTGCTCCTCCTTCATGAGATCAGGTGCTGCCATCTGTGCCACTTATTTGCCATTTATTTCAGATTTAATATTTCAGTTATTAGATATAATTGTATATATACATTAGGGCTGTCAGTCGATTAAAATTTTTAATCTAATTAATTACAGGATGTGTTGAATAATTAATCGAATTAATCGCAAATTACTTGAAATAAAGAATGCAAAAGAAGTGCTCCACGGGGTATTGGGTTTCTAGTCTCGGTGCTCTTTGGGTGCAAGGGATGATTCAACTCGTAAGAATAATAGTAGTCCAAGGCACTCGAATCTTATTCAAAAAGTTTTAAAAAGCCTTTATTTCATCATGGCTATAAGTTTTAAGAACAGGTGACAAGTGCACACCTACGCGTTGCACCTATTTTACCTTCGTCAGGGTGTGAGTAACAAACACAATCTGAGTTCATTTTGAGCAGCAATTAATTAGTCAAATAACTATCACCTGCGAGATCTACACAGGACAAACAGTAGAGACAGTAGAGAGGAAGTTCGACGATTACATATCAAATTAAATCAAACACAATATAATCATGTATAAAGGAGAGGAAAAAAATTAATAAAAATACAAAAATAAACTTAAATATGTATAAATCAGACTCCACAAATCAATGTATGTATGTACATAGTATAAATTTCTTAAAACAAAACACACAAATTCAAAACAAGATCAACAATATAATATTTCCAGATCTGAATTCATATTACAAAAAAGGTACAACTTATTGATCTGGGGACATGTTCTATTCCGATTATCTTCAATCTTCTATATGTCGCTGCGCTCTTGAGATCTGCTCATCCGATTAATGAATGATTATCCCATGAATTATTCTCTTGGACTCTCATTTCTCTCAGCCACTCTTAAACTGCATTTTCTCCACTTTTCTTCACTTTTAATTATTATTTGCCTCATTTACTGCGGGAATGTTTCTACAGCAAAGAAACACAACACACCAGACACCTTCATTGTGAAAATGATGGCAAGCATCTTGAATTATGCGTTAATGTTTTTCAAATTTGGAAACTGATGGAATTTTTTGGCACCTTTTTCAGTCTGTAAAGTAAAGTGTGTTAGTTCGGAAAGTTGAACTTGTTGACATCTGTACTAGTGTGTCAGCTGTTTATCTGATGAGTAGCACTATTTTTTTATTTAATATATTATTTTATTTACAATGCATAATTGTGTTTTATTTAAAATAAAATATATATATATTTTTTTTATTTACAATATTTTTATTATAAAAATAAAATAATTAAAGAAATAAGAATAAAATAAAATGTATGTTAGTTAATTTTATTTAAAAAATTAAAAATGTAAAGTTAAATAACATTTTAATTTTATTATTTTATTTTACCCTGTAAAGCCTGACATATTAAACAGTAGTCAGATTTTGTTTTAATGTTGTTTACGTATGTGTTTTTGTTTGGAAAGTTGAACTTGTTGACATCTATATTAGTGTGTCACATATTACATTATTGTATTTTATTTGAAATAAAATAATAGTTTTTTCTTCTATTTACAATATTTGCATTTTATTTTTGTAAGATAATATACGATATTATATATATATTATAATATGATAAATATTAAAATCTGTTTTGTTTTTAAATGAAACAGTTGATTGAACCTTATATATATATATGTGTGTGTGTGTGTGTGTGTGTGTGTGTGTGTGTGTGTGTGTGTGTGTGTGTGTGTATTTTTTGATTTTAGTGTGGAAAATTTAACTTGTTGACATCTACTAGCGTGTCACAACAGTTTATCTGATGATTAGTACTTTATTTTTAATTGTATTTGTATTCACAATATTTACATTTATTTAAAGTAAAATCGTTTTTTATTTACAATAATTGTTTTATTTTAATTAACATGAAAAAAATTTTTCTTTACAATATTTAAATCGGTTCTTATTTTCTCTTTTGTTTTCTTGTTTCAAAAAATAAAATAAAATGTAAATATGTCAAATACAGTTATATATTTGTTTAATTTAAATTTTAGTAATTTTTTCGAATCCGTTCTCATCTCGTTCTCAGGACGGTGCGGACGTGGGACTTGAACTCGGAGAAGAAGCACAAGTCTGTGTTCAAGCCTCGATCGCAGCAGGGCAAGAGAGTGATTCCCACCTGCTGCACCTACAGCCGTGACGGCAAACTGATCGCCGCCGGCTGCCAGGACGGGACCATCCAGATCTGGGACAGGAACCTGAGCGTAAGTGCGCCTCTTCATCTTTATCTTTACGCTGTGCTGTTATCCTGGAGGAGACACGGGAAGTGAGACGGCTAATAAAAGGCTGCTGTTCAGCGTCACGCCAGTGTGACCGTCCCATGGGTCAGAGGTCATCAGAGCGGTGCGGTGTTTTACTGCGTTTACTGTGGTTCTGCTCAGCGTGGGTGTCCAACTGCCTCGTCTCCAGCCTGACGGGGATGAATAGGGCAGGAGGGACGCTGATTTGTTGCTGTTTGTTTGGTCAGGACGTCCCGCCAGTGTGTGGTCTGACAGAATATATGAACATTCTCCAATCTCCACTTCAATATTCTATTCTCAGAAAAGTGTAATTTAAGTGTTCATTTATGAGAGAGAGAGAGTGTATGTAACAGTGAAGCTGTGGCTTTAATTGCTTTAGAAACAATGATGTTACCAGCTCCTTGTTGAGAAAGACAATGTAGCTCTTGAGCGATTAAGCTATTTTATTGATAAAATTGCAGGGCAGCGCTGAGAAGTTTGTGTTGCTGAATGTCTGTGTGTGCACGCGCAGCGTGATCTGTGTGTGTGCGTGAGATTCAGTGAAGACAGTGCATTAGTTTAAAACTCTTCTTATTTTTATTTTTTAAATGTAGAAAGTGTGTTAATTTGTGCAATGATAACCTACCAGCAATGTTAAGATAATTGTATTATATTAGAATGACTACATTACAATATAAATTTATTAGAACGAGTACATTATTATTTATGGGCTTAAAAACAAGATGCAAACAATCAGAATATTGTACCTGGTGGGGGAGTGCCCAATGTTAACATGAAACATATGCCATTACCGATATTGTACTCGGGGCCGGATTTACCTCTTATCGTGACGTAGGCAAAACAAATTTTTGAGCCCCCCCATCCCTATTAATATATAATATTACCACCCCAGCAAACAAAAATATTTAGTAATCAGTGGAAACCCTTACATTGTTTTCTATCGCAATAAGCGCTTGCGTTCAGTCAATAAAGATCAATTGAAGTTCTTAATTTGTTTGAGAACTGAGAAAGACCATTCCATTAATAAGCTCCGGCGTCGTGGCCACATTACCACTTCGGGAGTGCATTATTTCTCTAATAATTTTAAACGCCTGGAGTCGCATCCACACCTCAAGACATTGTTCAGATGATTTATTTCAAGACATCTGTCACGTTTCTGTCCTGAAATCTCTTGTGTGTTGAACTAATTTCTTATGCACCTCATAAACCTGCCTTTGCAAATTCCAAAACGTCATTTTAGAGCTAATAACAGAGGCTTGAACCATTGATATGCAGTCTAATGCGGTTATTCGAGAGAGAGAGAGATTAAGCGTGTGTGTGAATACCTGCGTCTGTGCGTCTCTCTGCAGTGTTCAGCAGCAGCGTCTACTAATAGCGAATCTGTAAGTTGAACTGCTTCAAGAACCTAAAACCTAGCGTTTTAGCTGTGAAACTATTTTATTGATAAATTCACGGGGCAGCGCTGACAACATGTTTCTGTCCGCGTCTCCGCGTGTGTGCGCGAGTGCGTGTCTGTAATGTGTGTGTGTCTGTGAGAGAGAACGGGAGAAAGAAAGCATGATTTCCATACATAAAAAAAGGTGGAAAACATGGAAATAGGCTAGTTGTCATTTTTTACCCTATTGTTTGTAATATTTATTTGCTCAATGTCTTCTGGGGTTTTGGTTCTTTTACTGTTGTAGATAGCCTAGGGCTGGACGATATGGCCGAAATTTATATCACGATATATTTCTTAATTTCGGTCGATACGATATAATTCCGATATCGATATGAACACTATTTATCTGTGTAAGGTGTGCATTATTATTATTTCCCATTTCATATTTTATAGTTATTTCCCATTTCATTTCCCACGTCTTGTTTTTTAAATGCAAAAACGCGTTCTCCGTGAATAGAATTCGGACTCAGCTCACGTGCATGAAGCTCCATCTACAGGTATTTCCCTGAACAACCACAGGTCAGATTTTCTGGATCAGAATGAGAGCTTATTAAATCACGAACACGATTATTTCTTTTTGCTAATTATTATTTTATTTTAGTTCGTTTTTCAATTACTGTTGTTAGTTTCGTTTCGTTTTAATTTTTCATTTATTTCAGTTTACGAAAATTTTTTTTGAAATATCGGAAATGTTTAAAAATCATATCACCGTTATTGAAAAAAATTATATCGCGATACATATTGATATTGAATTATTGTCCAGCCCTAAGATAGCCCATAGTATAACAAAAAATATTATATATCTCTTCATTGTGTTTGGGCCCCCCTGGACGAGCGAGCATAGGCACGTGCCTAGAATGCCTATGCGTAAATCCGGCCCTTATTGTACTGTGGTACAGTTATGGAGGCCCTTCATAATGCTGAGGCCAGCTGCCTGCTCTGCCAATAGTTAGAAATGTCCCTATAGTATGCAGTGTTTAATATACAGCTGTTTTACTAAATTCTGTTGAGGTGAAATTCAGTGCAGTCCTGTAGCGTGATACGCATCGTATCGTGACTTTGCTGGTGATGCACAGCCCTATTAATCAGTAATAAATGAATCAAATGAAAGTGAGCTCATCACTGCTCTGTGTAGTTTGGCGTGTGAGGAACGTTCTCCTGTGTTCACATTCAGTGTTTGTGCTGGAGAAAGTGACTTTGTGCTGTTGTTTTTTTGGGGAGAGTGAAAATGAGCTGGATTTTACTAATACCACAGACTGAGTGAAAACAGATCACAGCACAGACTGCAATTATATGCACAACAATAGTCCAGTGTTATGATGGGTTCAGGCTACACGATATTTTTGTCGGTCACGATAGTCACCGTGTCAGATTACACGATTTTGACTCCTAAAATCTTGTTGTGTCGTGGACAAGAAACATGTCAGACTACACGTTGCTTCCTGACCATTCATCGCGTGCCGTCTTTAACGATGCGCGGGATGTCATCGAGAAGGCGGAACTAGCGACTGACTTCCGAAAACAAGAGTGTAAACATTGCTGAAGCGCTTCCGCTATAGTTCGCCAGCATTTTTCTTTCTTTGTTCTGTCATGGTAGTCCCTCGATGACACATCATACAGGCAGGAGTACTGTTGCCACAGCTCCACGAACCTTTCCTCCATCTCATAATTCCACCTAGCAGCACCATCATCTCTCTTTCGTTTCGCCATGTTTGAAACCTGTGTATGAAAGAGCTTCTGTGCTGCTATTGGTCAATGTCACCAATGTGACAGAACTCGTCGTGGACAATGGGGAAAAAAAAAACATGCTAGTCTTTCTGTCGTGATGTCGTGAAGCATCGCAGACGCGGAATCGGTTGTCGTCCACTATGACACACTACATGTGCTGAAACGATGGAATCTTGCGTCCCGACGCCCATTGTTGTTTACGAATCCCCACGACACCCTACATCAAGCAAATCATGGCAAAATCGGGCTAAAATCGTGTAGTCTGAACCGGGCATTAATCACAGTTTGGTCAAATTATGCTAATATTTGACACATAATACCTGATTTATTTTATCTTATTTTATTATTTTACAGTTCATATAATCAGCTGATAGTTAAGCAGTAAATTAAACAGGCTTATCAATTTTTAAAAAGGAATAGAAATATTTTCTATTATATTTATATTATTAGATTATTATTTTATTATAATTTTTTTGTATTATTTAATATTATTTTTCAATTAATAATACAAAATAATACTACTACTAATACTAATACTACTAGAACTACTACTACCAGAGTTGGGTATAACGCATTACTGTATTCTAATTACTTTTCCTGATAAGGCAGTAATGTAATGCGTTACATTTTAAATTGATGTAATTTGATTACAGTTAACAATGTCAATAAAATTACGTTACTTAAGTTACAAATGCAGTGTTAAGAAAAAATATGCAGTAAAATGCATTTTAAAATCATGTTTTGTGCGTCAGTATGCCCTTTAATAAATCACCGGAGAATGCGAGTTAAAAATGCAGACGAGTCCTACAACATTTAGATGCAATGAAAGGTTGCCTATCATATTTCTAAATGTTGCACTCGATTTCACATATTTTAGTCTGGCATAATAGTTTGGGAAAATTTCAACTAGTAAATGTGTACAAGTTTGTCACAATAACACTAATATAAGTAAAAATAAAGACTCATCAGAATGAGATCGGATTACTTTATCAGAGAATATTTGTTTTCAATCTATCTTTAGATATGTTTCTCATGTCTGTGTGTCAAGTATTCACTGAGTTTTCATTAATTTTAGTGACGCGTTTCAGAAAGATATTCACTGAGACTGAGACGACTGAAAGCGCACCCTGTTTATTTTCTTATATTTTCTTGTTTTTATTATGAGTGTATGCAAATAAAAGTAGACCCTTTACGGTTTCAAATGGTGTATTACTCTTATCTGTACGATCAAAAATGACAAAACATTTTAAAACCTTTTGCTGTTGTCAGGAAAACATTCAAGTAATCGTTCAAGTTTCTGTTTTGATTCTTAGGCCTATGTAATTTTTCAGTAAATATTAAATTACTGAAAGAACTATGAGTTTCACTTTGCAGTGTATTTTTTAGGTTTGATAACTTGAAACAGTAAACTTGAAAGTAAAGTAATTAGTAATCTGATTACTTTTTAAATGCAGTAATCAGTAATGTAATCAAATTACAATTTGAAAGAAGTAATTAGTAATTTGTAGTGGATTACTTTTGAGTAACTTACCCAACACTGACTACTACTGCTACTAATAATAATAACAATAAAAAATGTTAATATAATTTTTCTGTTTTCTATTGAAATATATTTACAGTTTAAGCACATTTAAAACATTTGTTGGTCATTACATGGCATCCAGTGTAAAATCTAGTCCTGAACAGAAGCTATTTAAGACCAGCTTTATTTTATTTCATTACATTTAATTGTATTTCCATGGTAGCTGACATGTCATTAGACTATAAACAATCAGACAAACATTAAATTTTTTTAATT